GTCAAAATTGTAGTTCCAACATCTATAAAGAAAATAAGTGAACTTAACCAAGTCGAAATAGATAAGGTCTTTCACTGCGACGGCTTATTGCTATGCGTTACCAAGGACCGCTGGAGACTCGTGGTATGGAACCCGTATTTAGGGCAAATCAGATGGATTCAAGCCAGAAAACAATTCAGCTCATCTGACATGTTTACTTTGGGATACGACCACAGTAACCGTAGCCACAAAATCATGAGGTGTTATTATGTTAATGCATGTCCCTACTTAGAAATCTATGATTTTAACTCTAATTCATGGAGGGTTGTTGAATTTAATCCCCCATGGATTTTATATAGCCGGATCGTGTCTTTGAAGGGAAATACTTACTTTTTTGCTCAAGATTTACTAAAGACAGAGAATGATGTGAATGCTAAGATTGAAAATTATTTACTCTGTTTTGATTTTACAGCAGAGAGATTTGGACCGCATATTTCTCTGCCATTTCACTCTTATGATGACGAGGCTGGGGCTGTGACTCTATCTTGTGTCAGACAAGAGCAGCTTGCTTTGTTATATCATAACCGTGAGACAGTTGAGTCATTAGAGATTTGGATTACAAATCAGATTGATCCCAATGCGGTATCGTGGAGCATGTTTTTCAAAGTGGATATCAAACCGCTTATTGGTTTTCCAAAAGTCTTTGAACCTGCGAGCTTCTTCATTGACGAAGAGAAGAAAGTCGCTGTGGTTTCCGAAGGCGAATATTCATTTCGTACCAATGAGACCTGTCGCTACCAAACACTTTACATCATTGGAGAAGATGGATACTTCAAATCTTTCAAAATTAGATGCTCTGACTCACCTGAATTGTCTTCTTATGCTCCAAGTTTAGTGCTCGTAGAAACCAAACAACAAGGCAAAAGGAAAAAGAAAAGGAAGATTAAAAGAAGAAAGATGCAGATTACTAATTAGTTCCATTTGCAATACTTTATGTGTTACGTACTTTTTCCATCATCTCCTGTTTTCATTCATTGGCTTTCATGTCCTTTTGAACAATTATTAATTTGTTTTTGATATTTATCATCTAACAAAGAATTCAGATTTTGCATGTTATAGCCATTTTCTTTCAATTGTTCATGTCACCTTTTTCAGTATCAATGTTTGTATCTCAGAATTGCTTTTGTCAGTTGCTTAGATTAGATGTGATTAACGTAGGAGTTCATCTGGAAGTAGAGAGAATCATTAATTTAGTGTATTTGTTTATAAAAGAAGCTTCATGATGATAAGATAGCTCTTGTTGTTTTTCTTCACTTTCATGGTTCATAGTCTTCCTTTTCCATTAATGTGCTGGTGAATCACAAAGATTATCATTTTTGTTTGCTTTTCATCAAGGCATTGAATGAAAACAGAGAGAATTCAGGTCTAAAGAAAGCCTTTTGAAATTTTTGTTGTCAAATCAAAACAGATAAAAACATTTTGCAATTGTTCATCTTGTTATCAAGAAAAAGTAAGTGGAAATGTGGATTATAAAATTAACTATCTTATGAGCATGTGTCTATATCTCAGCAAATTGAAGCAAGTGAAGCCCCAATGCTCTTTCATTAGCATGGTCCAATACTAACTTTCCATTCTAAAATAAAATAAGTGTTGCATACGTATCTAATGAACAGAATTGAGTTCATGCAGCTAAATAACTTTTTCAACTCATCTATGCCTTTGCCAGACTTCTTGATGATTGAGCAGATCCGAGCACGAGCGTAAAGAAGATAAAACGGCTATATTTCCTTGCTCATGACATATGACCAAATTTTAAATAAAAATGTGTAGATGTCAAATATGTATTGTAGCTGCCAAATTCCAGCACCAAATTTTAAATAAGGATGTGTAGATTTCATCATTGGAATGGCTTCATCATTGATAACAGCAAAATTCATTACTGTTGGTCCAAATTAGCTTGTTTATATTCTCTTTCTTTCTTATATTTGCAAGAAACATAAAAACTTTGAGAATCAAAGGAGATGTCATGGTAGCGCTTCTTCTTCTCTTACATACAATCCTTAATTAGCTTGTTTATATTCTCTTCTCCATATGGTCAACTAACATTCATGCAATTGTTTCTAAGAGATTTAGTCGCTGGTATCAATTCATATATATGCAATAGTATGTAGAGGAACACAGATAAAGGATTGATCAGCTAAAGATCGATCATAAGAAAAATCAAAGACATAAAGAGCATCATATAAAAAAAATGTAATCGAAATGGAAAAAGAAAAACAAAGAAAACATCGATAAGCATTGACCGATGAAGGCACTTCACAAAAACATGAGACTCTCGATGTGATTTGGATAAACCTCTATGTTATACATACAGTCTTTATCAAATCCATAGCGGCTTCTAAATTCATCTCTCACAATTCCTTCAACCGAAACTTCTCTAATACTGTTCCTCCTCGGATCGAAATATAGAATATAAAACGATCCAAATTAAACAACCTCCTTTGTGTAAAAATAAGCTCACCAGCATAACTAACACCATAAAAGCATAGCTTTTCGCTCAGTATTGGGTCCATTTCAGAAAGAGGTAAAACAAAGCGTTTAGGCGTCCATTCATGTCTATCTTCATTTTTCAAAATCCATAGATCAATGGAAGGGAAATTTATAGTCTTAACTATGGCTAACCTTCCCTCATAAGGTACCACACGAGAATTCACAAAAGAATTACCCTCCGGATATTTGATCTGACCAAACTTTTCAGATTTGACATTAAAGCACATTATATTGTGTTCAAAACCATCACCAACAAAAATAGCGGCTGCATAGTACATGACTCCTTTAAAACATCCACCAAAACGTGTAGTAGGTCGATGCCAAGGGACACCGTTCGTTATTATTATACAATTACATAACCCTTTTCCTTGAGCTCCCACTGTAAGAATGCAGATCGTTGAGTCTCTAAGAACACGTAGTATCATGTATTTACCTTCAATCGAATCATATCCTACAACAATGCATCCTCTATCACATTTGCCTTGAGTGCCTTGGGGTTCAGGTAAAGTGAAGAAGCGTTTTAGGGTAGGGTTCCAAATCACGAGCCGTTCCGAAAATTCCAAGAAAACCAAGCCGTGTAGGTAATCATAACGACGGATGTTACCAAAATTAGAGTTTGAAAATTGATAACTTCCCAAACAAGAAAGATCCATCAGAATTATTGTTGTGTAGTGGAGACGAGAAAAGGAACAGCATGTCGTCTTTATAGACGGTTAGCAATACAGAACGCCGCGATGCCGCAAAGGCATTGATGAAATATTGACTAGTGGTAATAGTGGACCAAAGCTTAGAGACGGAGCGAAATCTTAGAACCGATTTAGCAGGAAGTCTTGAGAGTATCTCAATGGTTGAATCCAGAGGAATATGTTCTGATTGAGATGTATCATTATTATGTGAAGCCATTGTCGATGAAGATTGTGTTCTTCTCTCGATCTTTCCCGTTTTCTTTTCCATGGCCGACCGGTTAACTATTTCACTTTCTTTAAACCCAAATTTGTTTGAGCATTGGTGGATTGCTCATTAGATCATCTCTTTAATATACTATTAAAATTTTAATTATTAGTACTTTTGTAATTTGGGAAATTTATCTTAATTTTTGTACTTTAGTTGAGGATTTATTAAATTTATCTTAATTTTTTACTTAAAAATAAATATATGAAATTTTATTAATTATTTATATCTTTTATAAAAGTAACAATAAGTAAATTATGTTAATAAAATGTAAAAGTATTAATTATATTTTTTTAAATCTCAGATTTGTTTTTATTTTTAAAACTATTTGTATCAACTAAAAGTTATTAATCTTATATTCTTAAATCTTAACCAACATTATTCTCCCTCAATTTTTTTTTTAATGTGATAAACTCAAGGAGATATCCCCATTAGAAATATACCACTACACTTTTCTAATTGATTCAATGGCAACGATGTTAACGTAGACGACGTTAACTAAATTAATTTTTTTGTTAATTGTTTGATTTTTTTAATTTATTATATTTGTTTATTTATTAATTTCTGATTAAATGTTATATTTGACATGGCATAATTCTATTCGTTAAAGATAAAGGGGGTAAATAGAAGGGTTCACCACTAGGGGTGAATCCAAGTTTTGTTCTTTATATTCTCTTCTCTTATCAATATCGGCAACTAATATACATTCCATTGTTTCTAAGAGATTTAGTCAGCTAGCATCTATTATATATATGCATAAAAGTATGAAGAGGCTCACCAATCAAGGATTGATCAAATAAATAACATTAAAAAATCAAAGACATAAAAAAGAATCATATCAAAACTAAGTGTAATTGAAAGGGAAAACAAAGAAAACATTAAGCACTGACCCATGAAGGCGTTACTTCACAAAGACATGAGACTCTCGATGTGATTTGGGTAAGCCTTCATGCTGTACCTACAACCTTTACCAAATCCATAGCGGCTTTTAAATTCATCACCCACACTTCCTCCAAACGAGACTTCTCTAATACTGTTTCTCCTCGGATCGAAATATAGAATATAAAACGATTCAGACAACATCAATGGTGCAAAAATAAGCTCACCAGCATTACTAACCCCTTTGAAGTGTAGCTTTTTCTTCTGTATTGGGTCCATTTCAGAAAGAGGCAAAACAAAGCGATTATGCGTCCATTCGTGTCTATCTCCATCCTTTAAAATCCACAGATCAATAGAAGGGAATATCATAGTATCAACTAAGGCTAATCTTCCCTCATACGATATCATACATGAACACCAATGAGAAGTACCCTCCGGATATTTGATCTGACTGAACTTTTCAGATCTGACATTAAAGCTCACTATACGGTTTTTAAAACCATCACCAACATCAACAAAGGCTACATAGTACATGACCCCATTAATGCATCCACCAAAACGTAGACTAGGTTTATGCCTAGGGACACCGTTGGTTATCATTCTCCATGATCCTTGTCCTTGAGCTCCCAATGTAAGAATACAAATTTTCGATTCTCTAATAACGCGTAGTACTATGTATGTTCCATTAATCTGATCATATCCCAAAATCCCTCCTAGGTAATTGCAATTATTGTCTTCGGTCCCTTCAAGTTCAGGTAAAGTGAAGAAGCGATTCACGGTAGGGTTCCAAATATCGAGCTGTTTAGAACCTTGCAAGAAAATCAGGCCGCGCACGTAATCAAAACGATGGTAGTAACCATATTTGAGGTTTGTAAATTGATAACTTGCCAGACAAGAGAAACGACTATTTTTGTGTAGCGGAGATGAGAAAACATAGAGCATGTCGCCTGTTCGGACGGTTATCAGTACAGAAGGCCGCGATGTCAAGGACCGAGTCGCGAAGGAGTTGATGAAATCTTGACTGGTGGTGATGGCCGACCAGAGCTTAGAGACGGAGCGAAATCTCCCAACCGATTTCGCAGGAAGTCTTGAGAGTATCTCAATGGTTAAATCCAGAGGAATATGTTCTGATTGAGATTTATCATTATCATGTAAGGACATTGTCGATGAAGATTGTGTTCTTCTCTGGATCTTTCCCGTCTTCTCTTCCATGGCCGACGGCTCCACTATATCACTTTTTTTTTTAACCCTAATTAGTTATTAAACCCATTCCAATTTATTTATCCCCGTTACTTTTTCTTTTTCTTTTTTTCTTTTCTCCCTAATTAGTGAATCATATCTTCTTCTTTTTATTTTTTTCTTTTTTTTGGGCAAACTTTAGTGAGTTATATCTATAAAATCCAAATTGGAAGATCTCTAATTTATTCTCAAACCCATTTTCGGTCTCTTAAAATCATAACGAAAAAAGGAAAGTTAATATGGGAAATTTTAAATATTGATTAGGGAGTGATGTATTCATAAATTAACGAGAAAGCCATTGGTATGGCTTCATCAATCATGACAATACATTACATCACGGGTTGTTGTTATATTTAGCTTCCATTCCTGATTAGCTTAACTCTTAATCTTCTGCTTCTTGGCTTTTTGTCTTCATATTTAGCTTCCATTTCTGATTAGATGCTTATAAAAAAAATGTCTTTTTAAGACTTTAAATTTGTTTGACAAAGACTCTTGAGGTGTCAGATGGGCCGGTCCACGCCCATTTGGCCCGCTCCGCAATGGTCCGCTTATGTTCTTGGACTGCAACGGGCCGGCTCGCTAAGACCGCGCCCGAAATATATGTGTTTAACTATCGAAAGTAAGTGGAAATATGGAATATAAAATAACTATCTTTTTCAACTCATCTATGTCTTTGCCAGACTTCTTGATGATTATATTTCCTTGCTCATGACATATGACCAAATATATAATAAGCATGTGTAGATGTCTGCATAATACATATATATGTATACTAGCTGCCAAATTCCAGCACCTTGTCACAAAGCATTTCATCATAATTGGAATAGCTTCACCATTGATGACAATAAAATACATTACTGATGGTCCAAATAGATAAGTTGTTTCTTATATAACATTCTTCTTCTTTATTTCTTATATTTGCAAAAAAACATAAAAACATTGAGAATCAAAGGAGATTTTTGGTCAATAATTGAGTTTCTAACTATATTAAGGTTTTATGTATTAAGTCATGATTCATATTAAGGTAGTTATTTGTCAAGAGGCACAAGTAGGAAGAGACACAACTCATTGTGTTGTAGTGTTTGTTTGTTTTATATTTAAACTCATTTTCTTTCGTCAATTCTCTTTGTCTTTTAATTATCAAAGTTCTTCAATTAACCAATAGAGATGACATGTTAGCGCTTCTTCTTCTCTTACATTCAATCCTTAATTAGAATTGTTTATATCGTCAACTAACATTCATTCCATTGTTATTTAGCCAGCTAGCAACTAACATAAAAAAAATCAAAGACATATAGAGAATAATATCAAAAGTAAGTGTAATTGAAAGGGAAAACATTGATAAGCATTGAATGATGAAGGCGCTACTTCACAAAGACATGAGACTCTCGATGTGATTTGGGTAAACCTTTATGGTGTCCATATAGTCTTTACTAAATCCATAGCAGCTTCTAAGTTCATCACCCACAATTCCTTCAAACGAGACTTCTCTAATACTGTTTCTCCTCGGATCGAAATATAGAATATAAAACGATTCAGACAACACCCATGGTGCAAAAACAAGCTCACCAGCATTACTAACACCACAAAAGTTTTGCTTTTTGCGTCGTATTAGGTCCATTTCAGAAAGAGGCAAAACAAAGCGATTATGCGTCCATTCGTGTCTATCTCCATTCGTCAAAGTCCATATATCAATAGAAGGGAAGTTAAAAGTCTCAACTAAGGCTAACCTTCCCTCATAAGTTACCATACGATAATTCACACTAGAACGACCCTCAGGAAATTTTATCTGGTTGAACTTTTCAGTTCTAACATCTAAGCACATTATATTGTGTTCTAATAAACCATCCCCAACATCAACTGTTGCTCCATAGTACATGACTCCATTAATACATTCCCCAAAACGTATAATAGATCGATGCCTAGGGACACCGTTGGTTATTAGTCTACATGATGTTTTTCCTTGAGCTCGCAATGTAAGAATGCAAATCTTCGAGTCTCTAAGAACGCGTAGTACTATGTATTTTCCATCAATCTGATCATATCCCAAAATCCCTCCTAGGTAATTGCTATTATTGTCTTTGGTCCCTTCAGGTTCAGGTAAAGTGAGGAACCGATTGACGATAGGGTTCCAAATCACGAGCTGTTTAGTACCTTGCAATAAAATCAAGCCGCGAAAGTAATCAAAACGACGGTAGCAACCATAATTCGGTTTTGTATGTTGGTAACTTCCCACGCAAGTAAAAGGACTATTCTTGTGTAGCCGTGACGAGAAAACGAACAGAATGTTGCCTATATAGAAGGCTAGCAGTACAGAAGGCCGCGATGCCAAGGACCGAGTCGGAAAGGAGTTGATGAAATCTTGACTGGTGGTGATGGTGGACCAAAGCTTAGAGACGGAGCGAAATCTCCCAACCGATTTTGCAGGAAGTCTTGAGAGTATCTCAGTGGTTAAGTCCACAGGAATATGGTCTGATTGAGATGAATCATTATCATGTAAGGACATTGCCGATGAAGATTGTGTTCTTCTCTGGATTTTTCCCGTCTTCTCTTCCATGGCCGACCGCTCCACTATTTCACTTTCTCTAAACCCTAATTTGTTATTAAACCTATTCCAATTTCTTTATCCCCGTTACTTTTTTTCTTTGTCCCTAATGAGTGAATTATATCTTCTTCTTTTTTTGGGCTAACTTTAGTGAATTATATCTATAAAATCGAAATTGGAAGATCTCTAATTTATTCTCAAACCCATTATTGGTCTTCTAAAATCATTGTAATCGAAAACGAAAAAAGAAAAGTTAATATAGGAAAATTTTAAATATTGATTAGGGAGTGATGTATTCATAAAGTAACGAGAAAGCCATTGGTATGGCCTCATCAATCATGACAATACATTACATGACGTGTTGTCGTCTTAATCTTCTGCTTCTTGGCTTTTTGTTTTCATATTTAGCTTCCATTCTTGACTAGATGCTTATAAAAAAAATGTCTTTTTAACATTTTAAGTTTGTTTGACAAAGACTCTTGAGGTATCAGATGGGCCGGGCCACATCCATTAGGCCCGCTCCGCAACTGCCCGCGTCCATTAGGTCTGCTCCGCAACGGTCCGTTTATGTTGTTGGACCGCAACGGGCCGGCTTGCTAAGACTGCGTACAAAATATATGTGTTCATACCTGCCCGACAAAACCCATCGAGTTAATGAGCCCGCCCGCGAGCTTACGAATACTTTTGTATTTCCATTTCCAGTACAGATTTTTTAACTAAAGTTTTTATTTTTATTACTCGAAAATAATAATTGAAAAAATAAAAGTACTTCAAGCCAATAGCATCTTTTCGACCCTTGTAATATTGTGGTGACAACTGACAAGCAACACATGTTATGTCCGTTTAGAAACAGACAAAAGTAGAAGAAGAAAAAAGAGCCGTGGAGGATTCTTCATTCTTCTTCATCCTCTTCTTTACTGATTAATTAGAAACCAAAAAAAGAAAACGTCTATACACAAAAAAAAAATAAAATAAAATGGGAGAGAGAGAGGAAGTGAAACTATTGGGAGTATGGTACAGTCCATACGCCATAAGACCAAAGATAGCTCTTCGTCTCAAATCAGTCGATTATGATTACGTTGAAGAAGATTTGTTTGGATCCAAGAGTGAGCTTCTTCTCAAATCGAACCCGGTTCACAAGAAAGTCCCTGTTCTTCTCCACAACAACAAACCCATTGTCGAGTCTCTTAATATCGTTGAATACATCGATGAGACATGGAATTCATCTGGACCGTCCATTCTACCTTCTCATCCTCATGACCGTGCTCTTGCTCGCTTTTGGTCTGACTTCGTTGATAACAAGGTCTGGTTTCTTTTTTTCTTCTTTATCCAACAAATTCAATTCTTATTCTTTTTTGGAATTTTCTTCTGGTGGAAATTTTTTAATTTTTTAATTATTAGTGTTACACTCCAATGAATCTATATCTTTCATGCATGGCTTGATCGATCTTGGGGATAATTAAATCGTCCTATGTTACTGATTTTTTATTATATGACAAAAGTATTGGAACCTAAACCCGTTTTCTTGTGGGGGTAGGATTGTGGATTGTTGATTTCATCATCAAAGATACTTTTAAATTGATGGATGTTCGAATTTGACTAAAATATCTCTTAACGCGTTAAATCTGATTTGCGAAGGATTATAACCGTAGGAGGACCATTGAGCATAGTTTTCTACCAAAATAATAGACCTTTTCGTTATTTTAATATAAGGAGATGTCTAAAATTTTTTAAAGTGATGGTTTATTACGTAATACGTGGATTTAAACTCGGATGGTGACACATCAACTTAGGTCAAACGAATCCAGTAACTACTTTTATGTCTTGGTTTACAATTACATCAGGTAATTACTTCCTATACTAACATAATTTTATTCTGGTATACTTTAGTTCTAGATTCAATCATATATTATATTCTAAATTTCTAACATAAACATGTTCCAATTCTTATCCATAAATTTAACTAAGAATCATCAGGCTTAATCTGCCTATAAGGCTGACACTAGGACCACAATTGTTTATTTGCGTTTTCGTTTGCGTTTTTATGCTATAGTGAAGAGGATAATATAATATAAGCAATTGTAGCTTATATGTTATTCCTAAACTCATGTTTTAAGAATGCAGTGGTTTCCGGCTTTGAGAGTGGCTGTGATCACCAAATCAGAAGACACAAAAGCGAAAGCCATGGAAGAAGTGGAAGAAGGATTGTTGCAACTAGAGGATGCGTTTGTTTCTATAAGCAAAGGGAAACCCTTTTTTGGCGGTGAAGCAATCGGGTATATGGACATTTGCTTTGGAAGCTTGGTGGTTCTCTTGAAGGCTAGAGAGAAGTTTAAAGCAGAAAAGCTTTTAGACGAATCAAAAACTCCTTCTCTTTGTAAATGGGCCGACCGGTTCTTATCCGATGAAACAGTGAAGAATGTGGTGCCGGAGATCGATAAAGTAGTTGAGTTTCTGCAAGAACTTGAGGTTAGAGCTCAATCTGCAGCTTCAAGATCTTGAGATTATCTTAGAAATGTATTGCAATGCATGTTTACATGTAAAATTAAATGAAATAAGCTGAAGTTTAAAGTGTTGTGTTCAGTGTATGCTAGGATTTATATAATGATACACAATCTATGGACTATTTTCAGTTTATTTTTATCGAAAAATGTAAGGGTCAGCCCAAGATTACCATGGGGTCCTAGGAAAAATCAATTTTTGCACTTTAATATAAAAAATATTAATTTTGGACACTTCAATTAATTAATTTAGATACTAAAATTACTATTCAAATTCTCACTACTTCATGTAAAAAGAGCCAAATTTGGGATCATTAACTTTTTTTTTTTAAATTGAGACAATTTTGGATATTTTTCAATAACCATTTCAAATATTGCTTTATATTTTTGTAATTTTATTTTAATATTGAGTTTTGTGTTTCGATTTCACTCTTATTTTCGAAAAAGACGAAGAAGACGAAGAATTTGTAACTCAAGAACGTAACGGCTCAACAGGTGCAGCAAAGTGCCTTCGGAGATGTCCCTCCCCCCTTCACTCAGAGATGGAAGCTTTAATTTGGGGTATGAAGAATATCCTTTCAAGATGGATCGATTGTCAGGCGTTTGAAACAGATTGTGAGAGTTAGTATTGATGATACAGTCACCTGATGAATGACCCGCTTTCTCCAATCTGCTAGATGAGTTTGTTTTACTCTGCGCCTATTTCCCTCTCTTCTCGCTTTCTCTTATTTCTCATTAATGTAATGTTAAAGCGGACTGCTTAACCCGCTCTTATACACTTTTATTCTCTGAATTTTTTTTGTAGACTCTTTTCCTCTTAATTGGACAATCAATCTAAGAGTTATTTATTAATTACTGTGTGGTTGACAAAAAAAAAAAAGCACAAAGAGAGATTACAAATCAATATTCAAACAATATCAAACCCATTGATCTGAGCACCCAAATTTATAAATCAAACAACAATCTAAAATAAACAAAACGAAAAAAATAAAAGGTAATATAGGCAAATTATTATGGAGTGATTTAGAAAAAAGATTAATTACGGAGTGTGTGTTCATTAATTAACGAGAAAGCCATTGGTATGGCTTCATCATTGATGACAGTACACTACATTACTGATGGTCCAAATAGTTAAGTCTCTTACTTTGCATGCTTCTTCTTTCTTATACTTGCAAATTATAGAAACTTTACAGAGTGAGAATCAAACGATATGACACGCTTCTTCGTCTCTTACGTACAATCCTTAAGTAGAATCGTTTATATTCGCTTCTCCTATCCATATCGTCAACGAACCTTCATTCCATTGTTATTTAGTCAGCTAGCAACTAACATAAACAAAATCAAAGACATATAGAGAATCATATCAAAAGTAAGTGTAATTGAAAGGGAAAATATTGATAAGCATTGAGTGATGAAGGCGCTACTTCACAAAGACATGAGACTCTCGATGTGATTTGGGTAAACCATTATGCTATACATACAGTCTTTACCAAATCCATAGCGGCTTTTAAATTCATCACCCACAATTCCTTCAAACGAGACTTCTCTAATACTTTTTTTCCTCGGATCAAAATATAGAATATAAAACGATTCCGACAACTTCCATGGTGCAAAAACAAGCTCACCAGCATTACTAACACCATAAAAGCATAGTTTTTCGCTCCGTATTGGGTCCATTTCAGAAAGAGGCAAAACAAAGCGTTTAGGCGTCCATTCGTGTCTATCTCCATTCGTCAAAGTCAATATATCAATAGAAGGGAATTTAAGAGTCTTAACTATGGCTAACCTTCCCTCATAAGGTACCATATGACAATTAGAATAACCCTCTGGAAATTTTATCTGGTTGAACTTTTCAGATCTAACATCTAAGCTCATTATACTGAGTTCTAAACGACCACCAACATGAACAGCTGCTCCATAGTACAGGACTCCATTAATGCATCCCCCACAACGTATAGCAGGTCGATGACTAGGGACACCGTTGGCTATTATTCGATGCCTAGGGACACCGTTGGTTATTATTCTCCATGATCCTTGTCCTTGAGCTCCCAATGTAAGAATACAAATTTTCGATTCTCTAATAACGCGTAGTACTATGTATGTTCCATTAATCTGATCATATCCCAAAATCCCTCCTAGGTAGTTGCAATTATTGTCTTTGGTCCCTTCAGGTTCACGTAAAGTGAAGAAGCGTTTCACGGTAGGGTTCCAAATCTCGAGATGTTTAGAACCTTGCAATAAAATCAGGCCGCACACGTAATCAAAACCATGGTGGTAACCATATTTGAGCTTCGTAAATTGATAACTTGCCAGACAAGAGAAACGACTATTTTTGTGTAGCGGAGATGAGAAAACGAACATCATGTCGCCTTTTCGGACAGTTAGCAGTACAGAAGGCTGCGATGCCAAGGACCGAGTCGTAAAGGAGTTGATGAAATCTTGACTGGTGGTGATGGCCGACCAGAGCTTAGAGACGGAGCGAAATCTCCCAACCGATTTAGCAGGAAGTCTTGAGAGTATCTCAATGGTTAAATCCAGAGGAATATGTTCTGATTGAGATGAATCATTATCATGTAAGGACATTGTCGATGAAGATTGTGTTTGGATCTTTCCCGTCTTCTCTTCCATGGCCGACTGCTCCACTATTTCCCTTTTTTTAAACCCTAATTAATTTGTTATTAAAACCATTCCAACTCCTTTATCCCCGTTACCTTTTCTTTAATTTTCTTTTTATTTCTTCCGTAACTAGTGAATTCTATCTTCTTCCTTTTTTTTTTTTTTTTTTGGGCAAACTTTAGTGAATTATATCTATAAAATCGAAATTAGAAGATCTCCAATTTATTCTCAAATCTCTTAAAATCATTGTAATTGAAAACGAAAAAAGGAAAGTTAATAGGAAAATTTTAAATATTGATTAGGGAGTCATGTATTCATAAATTAACAAGAAAACCATTGATATTTAGGGTTGTCAAAATGGTTAACTCGACAGACACGACCCAAACCTACATGAGTTCGAGATTTTAATTGACAGATTTGATCTGACCCATTTATTTATATGAGTTGGATTTACATACTTAAACTTATAACCATAAAACTTATAGGTAGATAGGTACCCATATATAAATAAAATAATAAAAAAAATCCAAAACCTCCTAGTTACTTTAACACAACAATAATTGAAAAAGAAAAGCACTTCTAGCCAATAGCAACACATGATATGTCCGTTCAGAAACAGACAAAAGCAAAAGAAGAAAAAAGAGCCGTGGAGGATTCTTCATTGGGAAAAATGTCACTAAAATCCCCAACTTATTGAAAACGTTGATTTAAATCCTCAACTCTCGATGAAACGAAATAAATATCAAACTTATCTTGACTTTCCAAATTAATACTAAACTTTCGTTGACCTGGTCATATTAGGCATGACGTTAAATGGATTAACAGATTCTGTTAACAGGATTAATTTTTTGTTAACACACCCGTTAATTGAAAATGACAACATTCGCTATAACAATAAAATAACATCGTTTTGTTATAACTTCTCAATAAAATCCCGAGTTTCAAATCATATGAAGATTTAGGGATAGAGATTTCGCTTTATTTGGAGATCTAATATTGAATTTAGGAATTTAGCTCAATCGTTACGACAAAATGACGTTGTTTTGTTGTTATAGGAAGCGAAGTCGTTTTCAATTAATATGTATGTTAACAAAAAATTAACTTCGTTAACGGGAATGTTAACCCATTTATCGTTATGTTTAATATAGCCAGGTCAACAAAAGTTTGGTATTTTTTTGGAAAGTCAACAAAAGTTTGGTATTTATTTGAAAAGTCAACATAAGTTTGATATTTATTTCGTTTCATCGGGAGTTTAGGATTTAAATCAACGTTTTCAATAAGTTGGGGATTTTAATGACATTTTTCCCTTTCTTCATTCTTCTTTATCCTCTTTTCACCGATTAATTAAAAACCAAAAAAGAAAACGTCTATACACAAAAAAGAAAAAAAATGGGAGAGAGAGAGGAAGTGAAACTATTGGGAGTATGGTACAGTCCATACGTCATAAGACCAAAGATAGCTCTTCGTCTCAAATCAGTCGATTATGATTACGTTGAAGAAGATTTGTTTGGATCAAAGAGTGAGCTTCTTCTCAAATCGAACCCGGTTCACAAGAAAGTCCCTGTTCTCCTCCACAACAACCAACCGATTGTCGAGTCTCTTAACATTGTTGAATACATCGATGAGACGTGGAACTCATCTGGACCGTCCATTCTTCCTTCTCATCCTCATGACCGTGCTCTTGCTCGCTTTTGGTCTGACTTCGTTGATAACAAGGTCCGGTTTCTTATTTTTTTCTTTATCCAACAAATTCAATTTCCTTGAATTTTCTTATTCTCTATATCTTTCATGCATGGCTTGATCGATCTTGGGTATTCTCTATATCCTATGTTAGTGATTTTTTATTATATGACAAAAGTATTGGAACCCAAACCCGTTTTCTTGTGGGTGTAGGATTGTGGATTGTTGATTTCATCATCAAAGATACTATGGATGTTAGATTTGGACTTAAATATCTCTTAACGCCTTAAATCTGATTTGTTAAAGATTATAACCGTAGGAGGACCATTGAGCATAGGTTTCTACCAAAATAATAGAACTCTTAGTTATTTTAATACTAGAGAGAAACCCACGCGATGCGTGGGTAGGGGTGTCAAAATGAGCTAGCTCGCTCAACTCGGCTCAGCTCATGATGAGCTCGGGCATTTCATGAGCTAGCTCAGCTCAGCTCATTTATTAAATGAGCTTTGATATATAAACTCGGACTCAGATCATCTTGGTCGCGAGTTAATTGAGCTAGCTCGCGAGCTTATAACAAATAAATATAATAACAAAAATAATGTAATTTTAATAAATAAAATTAAAATAATCCAATAAGTCAATAACATAATTAATTCTAAAGTTAAATAATGGAAATGAAACACCAAATAAAAAAATCTCAAATAATAAATCCTAACAATAAAATTAAACTAACTAAAGATAATAGAAATATGGAATGATCAAGATATATTATGTTGACATTTTCTAATAGAATAGTTCTATTTTTGTTTAATTTAAATGGAAAAGATATATTCTGTTGACATTTTGTATATATATATATATATATATATATATATATATATATATATATATATATATATATATATATATATATC